TTCTAATAGAAGATGCAGTCTTCCTGTCATTCAAGGGGTTCTGCATATGAAAACTGGGGAAGGTATGGAAAATTGATCGAGAGGTCAGGACTCTCTGTTTTATGCTTTAAGGTAGAATTTTATTCACTTGACTTGGAACTTTTCTGTTGATACAGATCAAGTAAGAATTTCATAGGCCTCTTATCTATTCCACTTCTAGGAACACCATGCTCAACTAGTCAATGCCACATAGTTTGCATGAGTCACACTATTCTGATTACTTTTCTGGCTCTGCTGTCTATTATGGTAACCAAACCTACCTTGCCTCTGGTGGTTGAATGCTGTCACTTGGTCCTTGCTGCTGGAAGATCTAATTCTTCCATTGCACTTGGATTTACCACTCCAGTCTCTGAGGTTTCCACTATAAGGTCCGGCCTATATAAGGAAAAGAATGATCATAGATAGAGCTCTTCAAGGTTGTCAGAGCTCCCATCACAAATTTATTTCTCATAGATGTGGTAAAAGGTGTGTCTTCTGTATCCTTCTGGGTAGGCAAGTAGGTAGTCCATGACAAATTCTAACGTCCCCATCTCCCTAGGCCTTCAAATCCCTTCCTCTATATTAAACAAAGGCAGATCAGTCTTTCTAACTTATCTATGGTGGGCTACCTTTTGATCCATGCACCAATCAACCAACCAAACAATTAGAGCTCTTTCCACTTTCTAAGCTGCAACACTAAATGCAACATCTCTGCTTAGTGGGCTTATACCAATAAATTTGTCCTGATACAACTTTATGATCCTTCTACCATTATCTCACACCTTTTATAACCATTCCCACAGATTCCCCAGATTTTTGTGGCATAAATTAGAAAAGTCGAGTAATTCTTTGGCAGTATAGTACACACCTTCTCATCGGCCACACTTTGTAACTCACCTTTGCCAGCATGGTTGTAGAGGCAAAAAGGAAAGGTGAGGTGAGTCAGCACTGTTTCTCAAGGCAACTAACCAGGGAAGACCACCACAGTTTCTCCAGGCAATGACATCCTCTCACACTGGGGTGGAGACACCATTCTCTTGGGGGGTGGTGAAGCTACTTCTGCCAGCAATGATGAATCATCAGAATGTAGGTGCTCAAATGTTCCCAGCTCCATATGTCCTCATTCCAAATTTCAGGAGCCTATTTTTCTCAATCAATGTGATCATTTCAACAGTAGACATCCTGTGGCTGGGGATTCAATCCATGGTGTAATTCAGTCACCTGTAAGATGAGATAAAGTTCAGAAAGTTAATACATGGGGAGAGGGGTGGAGCAGAGGTGGAGGCATGTGTGATGCCCCCATGTAGATAACATGTATACACACATACAGCCTAGGTCAGTGTGGTGGGCTGACTTCAGGAAAGACAGTAGAATGACTTAGATGGTGTGAGGCCAGGTGACTTTTCCACTTCTTGGGTTTGTCTACCCAGCCGACTGTGGAGCAGGTGATATCTTTTCCAACATCATTTTTATACCTCTTTGACACCAACTGGGTACCCACCATTCAATTCAATTCTGACATGAACTATCCAGGGTTACCATAGGTTCTACAGGTTAAAGGACAGATGACAGTTCTCAGATTCCCATACTTGGGAATTCCCATAACCTTCTCCTCAGCTTCAGTAATTTGCTAGAATGACTCACAGAGCTCAGGAAAATGCTGTACTTACTGTTACTGGTCGAGTATAAAGGATACAACTCAGGAGCAGCTAAGTGGAAGATGTGGCTAGGATAAGGTATGGGAGGTGGTGGTACCAAGAGCTTCCATACCCTCTAAGGGCACCACCTTCCCAGAACCTCAAAGTGTTCACCAACACAGAGGCTCCCAGAACTCAGTCATTTAGGGATTTTTATAGGAGTTTCATTATGTAGCAATGATTGATAAAATCACTGACCCTTGGTTATTAATTCAATCTCTAACCTCTTTCCCCTTCTTGGAGATTGGGTAATGGGCCTACAAGTTCCAGCTTCTAGCAAAGGCTTGGTCTTTTTGGTGGCCAGCTCTCATCCTGAAGCTACTTAGGGGTCCACCAAGAGTCCCTTCATTAGAAAAAAGATATTACAATCACTCTAGCATCCAGGAAATTTCAAAGGTTTTAAGAACTATATGCCAGAAACTGTGTACAAAGTTCAAGTAATGTCCCATAATTTCATTATGGCTTGCAATCTAAGAAGTCTGAAGAGTGCCCCCAGGAACAGCAGCATCAATATTGGCATTTTTTTTTTTTTTTTTTTTTAGAAATACAAGTTCTCAGGTCCCTCCAAACTATGAAGCCAGAATCTCTGGAGGTGAGGCTAAGGAATCTGTATTTTTGTAAAAGTCACCTCTCTTAGGTGATTCTGCTAAAGTTTGAGAACCACCATTTGGACTAAACTCAGGACCCCGTGGAACCCCAGGCCTGCCCACTCTCATATGTGACACCAGGAGGTGAGGAAGCTGCAGTGCTGGTGGTTTCTGTCCAAGGTGGGTCCTTAATCTTACTTCATTTTAACAGAGGCCACACTGACAGTCCACTCCTAGGGAAGCAGCGTCTACCTCGTCAGTGCTTGGAGGATGGTTTCTCTTTCCAAATTCAGGCAAATCCTTACTTGAAGGCAGAAAATGATCTAGATTTTTACAACACAGTTGAGTCCTTTACAGTGGCATCTGTAAAATGAGGCTAAAATTTCTGTGAGGCCTCAATGTTTGTACAATGCCTAAGAGGTCATCTGGTGCTGGCAGTTGCTCTACCTGACCCTACCTATCACAAGCATAATGGATGTTCAGTAGATATGACTGATGGTTAACTGATTCACTGCAGAGGGAAGGGGTGGCCATTCTGGCTTGTTCCTCTGATTTTGCTAATCAAGGAGACAGGAATGAGATCATAGTGGGAATGGAGAAAACAAGGCAGGGAAAGAAGAAAGTGAAGGGGAAAGATGTCAGTACTCATAAGAGTTGTAGAAACAATAACCATTTTCTTGAAAGAGCAGGTGGAATTGGGTCATTTTTGCTTTGTCACAGTTACAGGATTTCAGAGCTGGAAAGGAAACAGGGACATCACAGACCCACCTCCTCACCACTCAGGTGAATCAGTCAAGGCCCTGAGATAGCAAGTGTTAGAGATGGGGACAGAATTAGTTTCTGAAGATAGGCACTGCCTGCTACATCTTACCATAAATTGAGCCAATTTATCTCCATGGAAACCTTGAAGGTTGTGAAAGTAGAGATGTGGGAAAGGAGGAGAAGCACTCTGAGTGTGAGTTCTTTTCTTTCTGTTTTCTTTCCCTTTTCTGAATACAAGCTTCCCCTCATTTTCTTCTCCATTTCTTCTCTCCTTTCTTCTCTTTCTCTCCTAGCATGATCTGGCCTGATCCAGGAAGCAGAGGCCACTGCACCTTCAAAGCTGCTCCTCACCTTACAATTGGCTTTGACTCGGCACCAGGGTACTGAGCCACTATCGACAGGAAACACCTCATTTGGTTCTTTGAAAATGCTGGTGACCCTTGAATAGCCAGAAACTACACTGGAAACAATTGAAAGCTGCCTCACTTCCTTTGGGTTTTTAACCCTTTTCTGAACCCTTGACTCTTGCCAGAAAGAGGTTGCTAGGAAAATGTTTGCTCTACCTGTGTGGGCAGAGTGCAAAGTGCCCAAATCTCTGGGGAGGCAGGAACCTCTCTACAAATCTCATCTTGGAGGCAGACCAACATCCCTTAATTGCAGTCCACGATTATTATAGACAGTATTTCGAAATGTCCTCAACCTCCTGGGTCCTAGAAATTGGACCCAAAATATTTGGGTCTTGGCCTTTTACATGTGAAGAGGAAATTGCTGAGAGTGCTGGCATGGACTCAGAATATGTGGGAGGGTCCCCCATTGTAGAATGCACTGGGGACATCCTGACCAGATTGGCTTTGCTTAGGCTTTTCCTGGGGTACTCTGTTGAAGAGTTAGTCTTCTTCTGCTTGTCAGGTCGTATCTGGACCAGATCAGGAATCCACTGGATAGCATGTCCTGAAGATGCTTCTGGAGCAGATAGGGAGGAGAGCTGTCATGGAGGCTATAGCTTTTCCAGAATGGACACTGGCACATATGACAGGTGCACAGGATCAGCTTCACAAGGGGAAAGGCCCACGCAGTGGAGACTTCAATGCGCACATGCGTGTCCAGCCTTGTCCATGCACGACCTGCAGAAGCGCCCAGTGCAGGCTGACAACTGCCTGAGAGCCCCTAACGGGGAAAACATAGCCCATTTATCCACCGCTCCGCCACAGCGACCGCAGCCTAAGTCAGGAGATGGGCCAGGCAGCCGGGCCTCACCTGGCCTTCTTCTCCAGGTCCGGGCAGGATGGCGGCACCTCTTCCAGTCAGCCCCCTTCTCCCCTTGGCTTCTAGCAGACAGTGGGCGGAGACGGAGGGGCGGAGACTCGGAAGGCGCGGGCGTGGCGATTGGAACCCGCACCGCTCCAGGGGTGGGGGCTCCGACTGTGGGTAGCGGAAGGGACCCGAAATCGGCGTCGCTGAGGCGCGTGCGCTCCTCCGGGAAAGGTGGGCGCCCAGGCTGGCGGTGCGGGGCGGCGGCGAGACGTGTCGGGGGTGGGGGGCGGCGCTGGGGATCAGCGCTGCCAGCCGCCTGCAGGTCCTGGGCGCACGCAGGCTCCGCGCCGTCCCTGCGAGTCCGCAGAGCATCCTTCGTCCGGATCGGCCGGGACCGCACAGCCAGACACCCGACGCTCCCTCCGCCAGAGCGGCCCAGCGCGCGGTACCCACGAGATTGGAGTGCCCAAAGTCCCCTGCCCTCGTTCTCCGTGCACATCGCTGCGTTTGGAAAGCAGCCAGGATTCATCTCTAAAATAAGCCCCTGCAGGGCGTGGCTCGTGTGCTGGGACCCCGCGGTCCGGAGAGGAGAGTTGGCCTTGGCTGCGAGGGACTCTCGTTCTGTGCCTGGAGAGAGCGAGGAGGAGGGCGAGGGCAGAGCATCCTCGGGTGGAGACGCATTTAACAAACAAACCATCCACGGGAGCGCTACAGTTTTCTTTGGCTTTGTTTTGTTTCACTCAGTGCTTTCCCCTCTATGAAATGTTATTTTGGTTAAAAGAAGAAATGGCCCCCCAGGAGCTCACTCGGCGACTGGCCACAGTGATCACTCATGTCGGTAAATGAACCTTTCTTTTTTTTTTTCTTGCGTTTTGCTTATGTTGCGGGGAGGGGGTGGTGGTGGCGGGGAATCGTCTCTGGGTTCTCATCTGCTGTGTCCCCATCCACAGCCCAGTGGCAGCGCCCTCACTAGGAAGGGACTTGCACTCCCGGCATCTGGGCCTAGGGCTTTGGGTACGGCAAGGGGCGGTCAGTGACAGGCAGGCCTGGGGCCCCTGTATCTGGCGCGTGTGCGTGTGTGTGTGTGTGTGTGTGTGTGTGTGTGTGTGTGTGTGTAGACCGCGAGGCAGGTGCTTTCACCAGGTGGTTGCCAAGTCTGTTGAGCCCACAACCCAGAGCTGCTGGGCTGATGTTGACCGCTGGGGTTGAGATGGGGGTGGAGAGTTGTTCTGTGGTTTGTGGAATACTGAGAAGGCGGGTAGGGGGTGCACATCGGAAGCAATGCTGGTGCTTTCTAGCAGAAACTACTACCAAACCACTGAAGGCTTATGCACAAGAAAGTGTAGAGGATGGCTGGGTTGTCCTGCTGCTCCCGCCAGTTGCTTATGGCCGAGAGATGTCAAAGAGAGATGTCAAACCCCCTACCCCCACGCCGGTGAGCCCTGATGGGGAACGTCTGCGAACCCAAAGAGACCAAGAAATTCCAACCCTCTTCCTTGACTTAAAAGGGAGAGCAAAACGAGCGTTCCTTGCTCCTGAAGTACGGGTTGTGATGGACAGGCCCTGTGTACCGAAGGATTTTCTTCCTCCACGCCTTCCCTGAGCCCCGTCCACATACAGGCTCAGAACTCTTGGATGTGGGAGTCTGCAATTATCTGGATGATTTCACAGAGGAAATCAGTGAATTAGTTTTTAGTGATAAAGCCAGGAACCATTTGCCTCCATTTTCTATACATTTGTTAAAACCGCCTTTTCTGTTCTTGTGTGTCAAATATTTCTTCAGTTAGTGAACTGACATTGCTCTTTGAGTAATCTAGTCCAAATGTGTTTGGTGAAATAATTGTTTCACATTTCAAACGCTACACTTATGGAGATATACTTGGTAAAAGTTACTTATATTGGAAAGCCTAGTTTTGACAATTCAGTTTTAAATTTTTTTTATTAGTGTGTATTAAATGTTTCATTATTCTATTTTTGTAAGTGTGTATAAAGTACTCTTCACTCTCTTTTTGTCCTCCCAGCTCTGACTGGTTCCCACTCCCAAATAGTCCCCATTTTACCCTCCTGTCATTCTTTTCTTTTGAGACAGGGTCTCCATACATAGCCCAGGTTGGCCTTGAACTCAAGACCCTCCTGCCTCAGCCTTCTGAGTGCTAGATCACAAGTGTGTACCACTGAACAAATAAATATGTATAGTTTATGTTAATGCTGAATTTTTATTTGTGGCACTGGGATTTGAACTCAGGGCTTCATGCTTGCTTGGCAAGCGCTCTAGCACTTGAGCCACTCCACCAACCCCTGTCAAGCATTTTTTAAAGGTCTAGATTCCATATGTGAGAAAGAACATGCAATGTATGTCTTTCTCAGTCTGGCTTATTTTACATAATATGATGATCTGTTTCTGGTGGCAAATATAGCCACTGAACTTTTAAGACAAGAGAGCAGGAGAGTCCTGCCAGGGAAGGCTGAATGTGAGATAACGCTGAAGGAAGAGTGCCATAATAAGAAAAAAGTAATAAAACAGAATGTGGAGTTTGAAATACATTGAATGCTAAAATGATTGGGCTAAATGTGGTTGGGTGTCACTTACCGATGGAGACACTGAGAAATACAATTCGTGATTTTGTCATTGTGGGAATATTGTGGTGTGTACTTGCACAAACTAAGACAATGTCACTAGGCAATATAACCATATGGCACTACTGTGAGGTTTGCAATCTGTCATTGACCAAAGCCTTTTTTATGGTGCATGGCTATACTAGCATGTGCATGAAATTGTGATGTAGGGAAATGGCAGTGGCCTAGAGTGTGGCCTTCTGGATTTGTACCCTTCCCTGGACAAGTCATAAACCTCAAACTGAAAAGTAGGAAATGTAATGCTTCTTGACTTAGCTGCAAGGCTACTTGAGAAGATAAGAAAGACATGGGCAAAAACGCTGTCTAGACCGTGACTGTACAGATGTTTCAGTTATGGATCATATCGCTGGTCCTTCTACCACAAGGCGAAGACTGCCATCTGTTCAACGTGAAGATGACCTGGATGATTATCAAGTCCCCTTCTCTTTCTCTGGAAGTAGGATATTCTTGAAGATCTGTTATACAGTATTCCTTGGTTAACACCAGGCTGTCTAGGAAGTCTAGGCTGTGGTATTTCCTGATCTACCTTGTTTGTGGCTTTATTCCGTAGACAACTCTATGCAGGATACACACTTCATGTGCGACAGTTGCTGTTCCCAGAGAATTTCTAAGCACCTTTGGCATTTCTTTGCTCTGTAACATCCTGTCTCTTCATCTGTAATCTCAGAAACCTGTGAAATTGGCAGGATACATATGTCATCCCCATTTCACAAATGAAGGAATTGAGACTCAGAGGGTGGTATGGTTTGAATGTTCCCCCTTCCTCCCAAAAAAGCAGATGGTGGAAATTTAATCCCAAGCAACAGTATTGGGAGGTATGGCCTGATGGGAAGTTTTTAGGTCATGAGAGCTGTACTCTCATGAATAGTTTAATGCCAATTATTAAAGGGCTTGAGGATATGGGTTTGAGCTTTTGCTCTCTCTTGCCTTCTCTTTGCCATTCTGTCATGGGATGATGAAGCAAGAAGGCCCTCACTAGATGTGGTCCGTCAATCTTTTGTCTTTCCAGCCTCAGAAGTATGAGCCAAATAAATTTCTATTGTTCACAAATCCCTCAGTCTGTTGTATTCAGTCATATCAGACACTGACAGAAGAAGAAATAAAAACTCTGAACTATAAGTAAAGATACTGAATTAGTAATAAAAATTTTTCCATAGAAAAAAAATCTCAGAACCATATGGTGTCTCTGATGAATTCTACCAAATATTTCAAGAAGTAATAGCAATTTTCATAAACTTCAGAAAATAGAAGAGTACTTGTGAAAAGCTCATAGCTGACATTGTAGTCATGCCAGCTGGGAATTCAGGTGAAGGGCTGAATGTTTTCCCTTTAAGATCAGAAACAAGACAAGATGTCTACCCTCACCACTCCTATTTAATATTGTACTAGAAGTTCTGGCCAGGGCAATTCAGGAAGAAAATGAAATAAAGGGCACTCACATTTGAAAGGAAGAAGTAAAATATCTGTATTTACAGATGATATGATCTTGTGTATCAAAAAATCCTAAGGATTCCCCTTAAAAAATCTATTAGAACGAATGATGAGTTAGCCAGGTTGCCATATACAAGGTAAATATATAATAATCAACTGTTTCTAAATACAAATGATAAACAATTAAAATTAAAAAAAAGTAATTTGTGCTTGCTTTGGCAGCACATATACTAAAATTGGAATGATACAGAGAAGATTAGCATGGCCCCTGTGCAAGGATGACATGCAAATTCGTGAAGCGTTCCATATTTTTTCAACAAAATTAGAGATAAGGGTAGAACAGTTTCTGCCTGGAAGTGAGGGGGTGGAGGGGAGAAGGAGGAGGTGGCAGGGAGTAGGGGGGAGAAATGATGCAAACATTGTATGCACATATGATAAACAAAAAAAATTTAATTTACAATAACAAAAATAATAAAATAGGAATGAATTTAATAAAAGGACTAAGAAATGTATGCTCTAAGGATCTATGAGCTATAAATCATTGTTGAAAGAAATTAAAGGCCTAATAATTTTGCAAATGTAAAATTAGGGTCCTTTTGGGTTAGTGGTTCTCAATCCCAATAACATGTCAAAATTTTAAAAAGGAATAATCCAAAACTCCTAAGAGAGATTCTCCACCTGGCTTAAGGAGTAACTCGGTGGAGCAGGGGTTAATGTTTTTAAATGCAGTGCAGCTAGGGTGGAAAGTGCTGTTCTAGGCTGGCGGAAAGAAAAGATTTTGGTTTTTCTGTCACTCAGTGCTGGGATTTGGTTTCCTTGGGGTGTAAACTGTAAGTTTATGAAAAGAGTCTTGTCCCACTTGAACTCTGCTAAAAAATGGAAGTAAAAATGCCCTCCTTAGAGTCCAGTGATGACAGATATGGGCAACCCCACTGCACCGGACCATGGGCCTTCTGGGAGAGAGGGCTGTATTGTTAGAATTGCCTAGATGTAAGGAAACAGAAGTAATCGCTGCTGCCTGCCTTGTCTCAAGCTCTGTGCTGGTTTTCATCTGCATGAAATCTCATTTAATATTCACAAGACCTCGTAGATTGAGATTTGTGAGAGGCATGATAATGTTAACAGTGCTCGTGGTCGGACTTCCAAATTCTTTGTGTTCCTCGGGAAAGAGTCCATCGCAGGACACGTGGGTGTAAATGGAGTTTATTAAAAGTTAGGGAAGGGAAATATAAAGGGCGCATGGTGGGTGCAGGTGGAATCTGCAGGCCACATGCTTCTCTTTCTAGGTACTTTTAAAATTTACCCTAATTTACCCTAATCAAGGGGGAGGGCAGAACCAGGTGATTCCCATGCAATAATCAATAAGTGGGGAGGGGCATGGCCGGTCCCAGCCAGGTAGGGGTGGTCCCTGACTCACAACATGGTTAATCTGAGTTGTAGTATTTTTTCCATGAGTCCTGGAACTGTCCCAAATTTTAGCCTGCCTCCATAATGCCCCTCAGAGACATCTGTGTTCTGATTCCCTAGAACCTGGGGACCTGTCCCCTTGTATGGCAAAAGGCACTGATGAAGTTAAGGAGCTCTCAAGGGGAGATAATTCTCTCCAGTTTTGAAAGTGGGAAGCCTGCCTCTGCTGGCCAGAGTTGCAGTGTTGTCAATATTGAAGATGGCAGAGGGTACCACTGGCTTGGGACTCAGGCAGCTTCTAGAAGCTGGAAAAGGCAGGGTACAGATTCTTCCCTGGAACTTCCAGAAAGACCTGGCCCTATT